AGCAGCTCAGGCACAGGAAACACTACACTCCGTTGGTGCACACACACTTGGGGTGAATGCCCAATCTCATAGAGGGAACGTCTCAACTTACATAAGGATGTTCTCTCCCATCTTTTTTATTAGAAATCAGTGGCCCTCTCAATATATCTCTGTTTTTAACCCTTGAGGTAGAGGCATGAGTACAGAAGAATATTTTCTCTAACAATCACCACTGTGAAAGCAATCAATGGCCATGCATCCCACCCATTGTTGAGGTTCCAATGAAGATGAGACTTCAGCCAAAAGGTGGGCATGCTCACCCAGTGGCTGCTACTTCCTGGCCCTCGCCTAGGAGTGCTAGTCATGAACAGAGATTAGTATGGCCTCACATGCTGACTTCCAAAAGAAATAAATTCTAATTTTAATGTGAGATCTGACACTTTTTACAAGTTGTCCTGCTTTGTCTAAACACCCTGTGTGGGCAAACCGCACATAATGATCACACACCAGGACAAGTCTGCAACTTCTTCAGGGAGGGCCTCGGGGTGCGAACATGTACTTATGGATATTGGGATTCGAGGAACCCAAGTTTCTGCACCAACAAAGGGGATTGCGGCTCTCCCTGTCCCCTTCAACAACCAGGGAACTAAACAAGTAGCTTCATGGCCCAAGCCCCACTGGTGTCTGTAATCCCTGCACCCCCATAGACCTTGTGTAGCACAGGTGGCACTGAGCACCAGCCTGGTGTGGCTCCGAATCCATGGGGAGACCATGGTACTGTGTTTCCATGGTTGTTTTAATCCCTACAGGCAATGAAGAAATGCCTGATGTGTCTCCTTTTGTTAATTTTAAAATTGAAATTGCTGCTTTTATAGGTCAAAGTGGATGGATAGCCATTTGGTTCATATGGTTCAAACTAAGTAAAATGGTTTTGTCCCTCAGCAGTCCCACCCATTGTTCACCAAACCCTGGGCTGTCCACAGGGCTGGTCCCACAGGGCTAGGCTAATGGCCACACAGCTCCCCCTAGCTGTGGCAAGAGAGGTGAGCCCTGGCAACTTGTGCAAACATCTAGCAGAGCTGTGTCTGGCATACTTATGCCCCTCTTTTGGTTTTCCTATTACTTGGTGGTCCAAGATAATGAAAAGAAATATAGACATTCTCAAAACTCTGAAATCACATAGATCAGGCTCTAAAAACATGCTAAAGCTACCTCACAATGAATGTATATGGATTTATATCATAGACTTGCTGCTTTTTGCTCTTATTTAAGCATTTACTTTCCATGTAATTTAACTTAAGCTTAGGTTGCTTTTTTTCATTTTGTCCCAAATGGCTGCTTCCACCAAATTTGGGGCCAATACCCATCCCACCCCCCAACTCCCCTGGAAGTGTCTCAAAGACACTGTGGTAATGAAGACTGTCAGCATTGGAGGGCACAGACCCCATCCATGCTCCCTTGGCAGAGGAGAGCTGGCACAGGAAGTGTGTGCTCTCAACATGTGCTGTTGGAGCAGAAAGGGAGGAGACCAGGGAGGGGGTGCCACTTGGTGGAGTTTGTGTGAGGGTGCTATCCTGACAAGGGAAGGTGCTTTTGATTGCACAAAGCAAACCTCTCAGAACCAGAGCAAACCTAGTATTTAGTCCAAAGAAGGAACTGGTCCAACTTTCCATTTTCTAGAAGACTCTCCCTGAGAACAACCTATATCAGAGTTACTAAGACCCTATTTTACTAACTTCAGTCTTGCTTTTTCCTTTTGATTGAAAGGAAAGCCCATTTGTAAGGAAAAGTCCACACTAATCAAGTTTCCTCAACTAAGTCATAACATTTATATGTTTATCCCCTTCCTGGAAAACAAAATCCAACCACTGTTCTTTATTTTCCCATTTCTTCTCTTTTTCTTGACATGAACAGGTTTTCTGTACTTGCTGACACAGATCATGGATTTTACATAAATATATTGGGAGGGAGCAATAATGTGTAAATATATGCTCCAAAAGTTAAAAAATGACCAATTTGGGGTTTTTTACAAGTATGATTTTTTACTTTTCCATCATGGCTATCAAGTCTTCCAACATATAAAAAAATAAAATTAACCAACAGTGTTAGATTAAGTCATCTAGAAGTTGATAGCCCATACTTTCTCACATCAGTTAAAAATAAAACACATTTTACTAATAAGCTTTTGGAGACCTCACATGGTTCTACAACAAACTGGCCTTTGGCTGGGAGAATTGCAAGGGTCCCAGCAGTGCGTAGATCAGAACCAGGAGCTGCTTGCCCATAGTAAGGCCAGCAGAGGGCGCCCTGCACCCACCGCTGCCGCTCAGCTCCCAGGCAGGCAGGGCTCAGATGCCCACAAATGGCAAGGCTCTTCGGGAGCTCTCTGGTGTTCTGACCACAGAAATAAAGCCATGTACACAGTGGTAACCTCAAATACATACCCATCTTTCCTAGCAACATGATTCCCAAGAAATACCTATCCACACAATTCCGCAGGGAAGGCAGAGGGGAAGAGAGTCAACAACATACCGTCAGAGCACAGCCTCCCTCCACAGCACGCTTGTCATGCACCTACCTAGCTCCTTTTAAGTCCCTCTGGGGAGAAGGAGGTTGGTTGGCACAGGCATTTGCTTTAGGGTACTGAAGGTGGTCCACTGGAAGGGCAACTTGAAGCTGCCTCATGCTGAGTACATGTGGGTGGGGAAACCTGGGGTGGAGGGACCCAAAGTTCCTTGTGTTCCATCAAAAATCCCTTCTCCTGCCACATCACACATACTAATAGCCACAGAAGACCCTGGTCTCTTCCAATAAGACCAAGAAAATGCTAAATAGCATTAGTCAGATGGATACTGCTGAAGGGTAGGGGAGCAAAAGGGCCGAGCATGACCAGGATATGGTAAGGTCTTTCTATTCTTTATTGTCCTGCTCATCCCCTGGCTCACATCCAGCCAATGGCTGTACAAACAAAGGAGAGAAGATATTGCTGGGCTGGGGGAACTGTTCCCAAGGCAGAGAGTCCCAGACTCTGATCACACAAGTTCCCTGTGGGTTCCCAACACTTTAACCAGTGCTGGTGGGAAGTATTCTCTTACTCTGTCGATGTCTCATTGTAGCAGTCAGGAGACACCTCTGGGATGGTGGGTGCTAGGACTCTGTTGAGGTCAAGAGTTGGGCATCACCAATATCTGGGCTCTGATCATTCTTTGTCATGGGGGCTGCCCTGTGTGTCACAGGATGTTTACAGCATCCCTGTAGCATCCCCCTCTGAACTGTAACAACCCAAAAAACATCTCAACATTGTCAAATGTCCCCTAGAGTGCAAAATTGCACCGGGTTGGGGGGCATGAGTGTAAATTAATCATACACTTCCACTATTGTTTTAATGGAACTAGCACTATTTAAAAGGAGGTAGGGGAGAGAAATGGCTATTAGGAGGGAAGAAGCCTGACAGGATGGACATTCTTGGGAAGACAGGGGGACCAGGAGGACCTTCGATGGGGAGAGAAGTAGCCCCACATGTGAATATATAGCCTCAACACAAAGTCATGGATTTGTGTCAGTATTCCCCCTCATGCCCTCTCTTTCCCTTTTGGACTATAAATTAGACTGACAGTCCTTGTCATGACTGGACTTTATAGTCTGGGCCTGACTTGTCTCTGTTCACATGTCAGAATTAATCGTGAGTCCATTCATCAGAGTCCATTGCTAGGCTGTGCAAATTTACACTCTCGCTTCATCCAGGAGGAAAATCCAAGTAGTAAGCAGCAGCACCTAGTACTGGGTCATTCAAAAAAACCAAAAGTGCATAATATTGGCTTAAAAAAGTAGAAAAAGTGCATAAAACCCTTTCTTGTGTGCAAGCTGCTTCACTACAACCCCAGAACTATGATCTAAATCTGAGGAGGAAAACCCTCAGCATTTATTAACAAATTTAGCTACAGACCGTGATGAGACCTCTCTGGACATGATCACTAGCTACAGATTGTCTTCACTTGCCATGCAGAGTGTCACCCTGAAGGAATCCTTTAAAGTCACTTAATTACCATCTCAGAAAGGAAGACCCTATGTCCAGCAGCCCCTGGAGCAGGGCAAACTGTTGCCCTCTGAAGAGGGCATCACCACAAACCCACTTCCAAATGAAACACATTCCAAGTAAAAATACTCATATTTTTGTATTTTACCTTTGTAAACTGCCTTCCTGCTGTGTCTTTTTGCCGGTGGGTGCCCATCCACTCACCTGACAATGGTGGTGCTTAGGTAACAATGGATGGGGCAATGACAGTAAGGGTAGCAGGGTCTGCACTGAGGAGTGTAGGAAGGAGGCCCCTTACCCATGCAAGGGGAGCTGGAGTGGAAAAGAGATGCCTCCAAGGCAAGAAAGGGGTGGGTGGGGATCCAGGCAAGGCAATGGGAAAGCAGCCTGAGCCTTCTATGTGCAGCAACTTTAAGCACTTTGTGGTTTGGAGAAGAAAGCGTAAGATGGAGAACTTTGGTAAATTCATGGCAGGTGCTTTGTAGAAACTAGAATGCTGCCTGCTGATGCTGAGTGATAATTTTATCTAGTTTTAGGGGTACACTCAAAATCCTTAGATTAAAGTTTAGGCAAAGCAGTGATCATAGATTCTTCTGTGGTTCTCAGACTGCTAATGTGACAAGATTTTTCCCCCTGTCCTCCCCAACAAATTCAGGAGAATTACATGTATTTTGTGTTCAGAACTTCAGAGGAATTAGTTCCCTCCTTCAGGTAACAGGTCTGTCCTGTACCTAGTGGAGAATCTCAGACAACAGGGCACCAATGAGTGCCCTGTTCAATGAGTGTGGACAGGGCACCAAACTGCTGAGGTGACAACATTCCCACCGGGAACCCCTTGAGGGGTTCTAGATATTCTAGTACGTCTGAGCCAAAGTGGCCTGACATGGAGGCTGCCCTGCTTTGAGACCCTTGCCAGCACTGGCCCCACCTTTGGAGCCAGGACAGAATCCTATGCAGAACCTGACGGGCCCAGGCACACACTTACCGACTGCAGAACGTCCTCTTGCCTCCTGCTCTGACTCGGGCGGTTGATGAAAGACCGTGTGGACACTTTGTAGTGATTCAGAAGGCAGACTATGACCACGACCATCACCGTGACCACCACAACAATGATGATGATCTGGGCAAACTCCAGCTCCGCTGTGATAAAAGAGGAAAGGTCTTAGCCACATGCCCCTGTTCTAAAGATACTCATCATCTCAAAGCGCTCACTCCACTCTTACAATCCCAGGTACTGAAGACATTTTGCCTGCCTCTTGTTCTCACAAGGACTTCGTCAGGGAGATGATTTTTCCCCAGGTCTGCTGTCCAAGATCACTGCTAGACTCGATAGTCTATACTATTTGCTGGAAGGGAGATCCAGGCATGGGGCTCTATCCAACAGACCTCTGATCCTCAGCCTTTTTTGGTGCTCAGACAAACCTTGCTTGTGCTGCAATTTTATAATGAGAAGGGTTTTGGGGAAAAGTATTGCATTGGTTCAAAGAGAACTCTAGAGGTGTTGTGCTGTAACGGCTCCATTTCTTACATGGAACTCAACACCCTGCCCAGTGGTCATTCCTGAGGCTGGCTGCAGCTTGGCTACCCCTTCCCACCAAGAAGACAGTTCTCAAGTGCTGCAGTGTCTTGGGAGTAAAGCTCAGTGGTCTCCCTTGCCTATACTCCCCTTATGCCAGATAGCATCCTCCATATCCCTTAGTAAAGTCTAACAAAATTAAGGCGGTTTTTCCCAGTGCAATTTCTGTAGGAAAGTTAAATCCATCTTTCTAGTTGAGTCAGGTTTCCCAAAGTACATCATCACACCATGTACACAGTCATAAATTCCCTTTCAGGTTAAATCAAGCCCTGGAAATGATAATTTTTTTTCTTTCCACAGGAATAACTTCATTGCTTTATGAATATGAAAAGGGAGGAAAGTGGTGATTAGAGTGAGGAATCCTATACAAAGTCTTCATGGGCCAATTTCTTAACATGGAGAATGTTTTTCTACGTCATCTTTTTGTAAATATGGAAAGAAATGCAGATAACTTTATATCACAGCAATTAAATTATATTTTCAAAACTTGGGCCTCCCTGGTGGTGCAGGGGGTTGAGCACAGCACTGTGAAGCTATCTTCAGCCACTGTAGCACGAGTTTGATCCCCATCCAGCCAGGGAGCTACCCACATGGTGTAGCAGTGTATCTCGCTCACTGCTCCCCTCAGCAGTGTATTTCAGTGGATCTACTCCTCACTCTGTCTCTGGTGAGTCCTGTCACCCCCCGCACCTCTGGCCTGCACCCAAGTTCTTGTATGCATAAATAAATAAATCTTTAAAAAATTATATTTTCATAACTCTATGCACTTTGGGTTATATTTATATTTCATTTGAAAAAAAATATTATTAAAGTGTTTAAGAATATCTGCAGATTTTTTTCTATTATTTTATTTTGAGAATATAATCTGATTTTTATTCCAGAGTATCATGAATTATGAAAACTGACTACCTGTTAGTCATAGAATTATTACCATATATGGATCTCACAAACCCTGAAAAGGAGCCTGCAAGAAGACCCACAGTCACAAGGCTCTATCCAGCAGCCAGCAACCCCAAGCCCCCAAGCAGAAGGGGATGCATAATAAGCACCACTCAAAGCAGCATGGCCCTGAAGGCAAAGAATAAGGAAAAGGAAAAACTTCTACAAATGACAACATGAGTCCTCAGGGAAACACTACATCACAGAAAGAGAACAAATCTTCAGAATACAACTTTAAATACAGGTTTCTCCTATCAGATACAGAATTTAAATTTGCCATTATAAGGAAATTTGAAGAACACAGAGAAAACACTGAAAATGAGATCAAAGATATGCAGGAAAATTCAGAAAAGACAAACAAATATCCTGAAAAATGGAAACAAGAACAGAAGTTTGAAAAGGACAAGAAAACAGAATTGTAGGATGTAAAAAGATCAGTAGAAGAGTTGAAAAATACTACATAAAGCGATGAAAGTAGAATAAACCAAACAGAAGAGCAAATCAGTGAACTTGAAGATGCAAATACACAAATAGGTAAGGTAGAAGAAGAAGAAAAGAAATGAAGCAAAGAAAAATGAATAAACACTTCAAGAACTGTCCAACTCCATGAGGAAAGGTAACATAAAAAAAAGGGTCTCCCAAAGGGGATGAAAGAGAGGAACAGAATACTTATTTAAATAATAATGGAAAACTTCCTGAACCCAGGGAAAGAAAGAAATATACAAATCCAGGAAGATGAAAGAACCCCTGGGTATAAAAACAAAATGAGACACACACCTAGACATATAGTAGTAAAACTTCCAAGAGGTCAAGCAAAGGAAGAACACTAAAGTTGGCAAGGGAGGAGAAATAGATAACCTACAAAGGAATCCTGATTAGGTTAACACTGAACTTCTCTCAATAAACACCATGGGCAAGGAGAGAATGGAACAAAGTGATAGAAAAGCTTAGAGATAAAAATTTCAGCCAAGAATGCTCTATTCTGCAAGGCTTAACATGAGCTATGATGAAGAAATAAAAGACTTCTCCTTCAATTTAAAAACTGAAGGAGTTTTCAAACAATATAACTCCTCTCCAATACATATTTAAAAAGAGAGTAATATCCACAAAGAACAGAACAAGGAAATAGGACCACAAGATTAAAGACTCTCATTTATCAACAATCACTCTAGATGTAAATGGACTAACCCAACCAACTAAAAGATATGATATCTCATTGGATTAGGAAAGAGAATTAAACCTTTTGCTATCTCCATGAGACACACACCTCTAGGCTCCAAAGATAAACACAGACTTAAAATAAAGGATTGGAAAGCAATTCAACAAGTGAATGAAATCCAAAGAAAGGTGGAGACAGCCATAAACTTGTATCAGACAAAACAGACTCCAGTTAAATAAGGTAACAAGAGACAGGGATCAATACTATATAGTGATTAAGGGAGCAATACCACAGGAAGACATAACACTTATTGTAAACTCACCAGATGAAGGAACACCAAAATATATTAGGCAATTACTATCAATTCTGAAAACAAACATTTGGAAAATACATTTGTGGTAGAAGCCTTCACATCCAACACTCACCAATGGACACATCAATGAGACAGAGAATGAATAGTGACACAATATACTTAAACAAACGATTAGATCACATGGGCCTAACAGACATCTGTAGATTTAAAAAAAAAAAGCAGAATATATAATTTTCTCAAGCATACCTGGATATTCTACAGGATTGATCACATATTGAATCACAAGACAAGTATCAATAAAGTCATGAAGACTGATAATATACCAAGTATCTTCTCTGACTATAAATATATCACATTAGAACTCCACTAAAAAAGAGAGCAGGGAAAATATCTAATATGTGGTGACTGAAAGATACATTACTGAAAGACTACTGGGTTAATAAAGAAATAAAAGAAGAAAAAATGCCTTAAGACAAATGACAATAACCTTCTAGAATTTATGGAACACAGCGAAAGCACTACCAAGAGGGAATATATATGCCCATATCAAGAAACAAAAAAAGAACTCAAGTAAATAATTTTAACTCTCTACCTGAGGGACTAGAAAAAGAACAAACAAAACCAAAGCCAGCAGGAAAAAGGTAATAATAAAAATCAGAGCAGAGATAAATGAGATAGAAATTAAGACAGTCAAAAACATTAATGAAATAAAAAACTGGTTCTTTGAAAATATAAGCAAAATTGCCAAAACTGTAGCTAGGCTCACTAAGAAAAAAGGGAGAAAACAACTAGAAAACTAAATAGCATCACAAATGAAAGAGAAGATGTTACAATAGACACTGCAAAAATGCAGAGGATAATGAGTCTACCATGAATGTTCATATGCTAACAAGTTCAATAATCTAGAAGAGATGGGCAAATTCTTAGAATTATACAATCACCAAAACCTGAACAGGGAAAAAACAGAGAATCTGAATAAACCAATAATGAGCAAGGAAATTGAAACAGTAATTAAAACTCTCCCAAAAAACAAAAGTCCAAGGCCACATGATTTTGCAAGTGAATTCCACCCGACTTCTAAAGATGAACTAAATATGTATCCTGATCAAACTCTTCCAAAAAATTAAGGACGAAGGAATACCTCTAAACACATTTTATAAGGCCAACATTACCCTAATACCAAAACAAAACAATGACAACACCCAAAAAAGAAATTTATAGATTAATTTCCCTAAAGAACACAGATGCAAAACTCCTCAATAATCGCAGGGACACAAGGATGTTTCAACATCTGAAAATCAGTCCACATAATTTAATAAATCAACAAAAAGAAATATATGGTAATATCAATACATGCCAAAAAAGCATTTCGTAAGACTCAACATCCATTTATGATGAAAACCCTAAAAAATCCTGGGGATAAAAGGGACATATATTAATATAATAAAAGCCATATATTACAAACCTACATCTAGCATCATTCTCAATGGTGAAAAACTGAATGCCTTTCTACTGAAACCCAGTACAAGAGTAGGATGTCCATTCTCAACACTACTACTCAACATAATATTAGAAATCCTAGTTAGAGCAACTAAGCAAGAGAAAGATATAAAAAGGAATCCAAATTGGAAAAGAAGTAAAGCTATGATTATTAGCAGACAACATGATAACATATATAGAGAACCCTAACTCTTTTGAAAAATTAGTTAAAACAATAAACCAGTTCATCAAAGTGACATTACAAAATCAATACACAAAATCAGTTGCCTTCCTATATGAAAATGCTGGAGTGGTAGGTGAGCTATGGTGACCACCTGAGGGGGGCGATGCTGTATTTCCAGAATACTAGAAGAGGAAGAAATTAAGAAAATAATCCTATCTACAATCATACCACACACACACTAACACAAAATACCTAGGAATAAACCTAACAGAGGTTGTGAAAGACCTAAACAAAGAAAACCATAACACATTGTTAAAATAATAGAGGAAGACACAAAGGATATTTGCTGCTCATGGACTGGAAGAATAAATATAGTCAAAATGGCCACCCTATCAATCCTATCAATATAGATTGAATGCACTGAAACAATATAGATTCAATGCATTCCCAATAAAAATCTCAATGATATTCTTCAAAAAAAAAAAAATGG